GTTTAGTACATTCTTCTAGGTATTTTTAACTATGAATATGTATTCATGTATCTACACAAGCACATGATTTATAAAACTACAGAAATGTTATGCTATGTATAATGTTCATGTGACAAGAAACTGAAGCACAGATAAATTACACATGTTCCACATAACAGAATAGTAAAGAAAAAATCAGAAGCAAAACATAATGACATATTTAATTTAAAAGGCCCTAAACTTTAAATATTTTCCTTATTACTTATAGAATACTTTAAGATTTTGTGCTGTACCTCAGGATTATCACTAAATAATAACAGATCTAACTAACACTTATGAGCATTTACTATGAGCCAACCATTTTGCTAAGTGTTTTATACGTATTAATTTGATTTAAGACTATTATCTCCTATTTTTTTTTTTTTTTTTTGGTACTGGGGATCGCACTCGGGACCCTGTGCTTGCAAGGCAGGCGCCGGAACCGCTGAGCTCAATCCCCGGCCCTCTCCATTTTTTACAGATGAGAAAACTGAGGCTTAGAAAGGTTAAGTGACTTGATTGAAATCACAAGGCTAATTATTAATGTCATAAGCAGAAAAGTTAACAAAAATAGGATGAATCTATTCTCCTACTTGGGGAACTGTTGTATGGAAATGACTGATACCACTTGGTTACCCTGTTTGTAAGCTTAGATATGGCACTTTCTCATACATACAAACTGAGTTTCCTGCCTTTTAATCTGAAAGTGGTAAGGAATATTCAGAGAATTTACAGTAACAGAATTAGAGGTCAATGTATTTCTAGACTATATTTTGCCCACTTCAAAAATTCAGCAACAAATTCTGCTTATGACCCTAGATAAATCATTTAAATTCTCTAGATCTTAGTTTGACCACTGTAGGACAATTATCTAACACAATTCCCTGAACATCCCCTACTCTATAGTTTAGTTAATACTATCAATCATCTCCATGGTTGCAGTTACAGAACCAAAGCACATTGTCTATCTATGTATTTCTCATATTTTCTGCAAAAAACAAATCTGATTTTGAAGAACAGTGAAATTTAGATGTGATAAAATCTAAAGCTGTGAAGATATTCAATTTATTAGATAAATATTTTGGGTCAAGAGCTACTGTATATCCCAAAGTAGCTTTCCCTAGATTTGCACACCAAACATCAATGACTTAGTCTGGTTTCATCCACAAACTCCTTTCACATGTAGGACAACAAAAGTTAGACATGAGTACACAGATGTCAGGTGCAGATGGAGAAACTAAGAAAAATATGTATGTCTCAGACACAGAAGCTTTATTCTTTTTGGGGTTGTTTTTTTTTTTTTTTTTTTTTGGTACCGGGGATCGAACTTTGGGTCCTTGTGCTTGTGCAGCAGGCGGTGAAACCACTGAGCTAAATCCCTGGCAGAAGCTTTATTCTTTTAACCTAAAATATAGGTACCTAAATGTTTACGCTTAGATAATACAAAAACATTGCCAATTACTCCCCAGAAGTCAACAATAGTAAAAGGAATCCCATAGACTTCTAGCATTTTTTCACTGTATCATTTTTTAAGCAGTCTATAGTAGCCCTTTAGCTCAGTTGGTTCTCAAAGTATGGAAGCTCAACCATCAGTTTAGGCATCATCTGGGAATTTGTTAGAAATGCAAATTTTTTACTCTACTCAAAATTTTTTACTCTACTCTTTACTCAGAAATTCTAGAAGATGGGCTCAGCAATATGGATCTGGACAAGTCCTCTTTGCAATTCTGAAGTATGCTAGAATTTGAGAACCACTGTTCTAGCCTGTAATTTATTATGATTGCTGCCTCTGTGAAATGTATTTCCCTAAATTTGCAGGTGATAATAAGTAAAGCAGCTGGACAAAAAGATATCAGGACACTAGCCTTAACTGCATTATTATGTATGAATGCACAATAAAATGTTTGTTGTTCTGTTTGTGTGTATCTTATGTAAAAAATTTCAAAAGTTTAGATTGATATTTGTTTTCTTTCTACTTCCTGAAGGTTCAATAATTGAATCTATGAAATAAACCAACAGTAGACAGGTTAAAAGGAGAAAAGGTATACAAATTCATTATATGCATAGGGAGATTACAAGAAAGAAAAGTAAGTCCCTAAATATCCAGAAAGATCCAGAAGATTACACATTTCCTCACAGAGGAAGTGGAGAAAAAATATGGGCAATTTAGGGGTCAGTGAATGAGTTTTGGGAAAGATGAACAGGCTCTCAGGAAGAAGAGGTGACAGCCCATGACACTATCTGAACATGTGTTAACCTTTGGTCTCTTTTCCTGTGATGTAGTTAATATTCCCTTTTTTCTTCTTCTTCTTAAGTTCTTTTATTGGTACATTTTAGGTATACAATTCATTTACATTTATCATTGGGTGTTTGTACCTGTACATGATGTATCGTGGTTATTTTTTCCCCATTACCTGTGCGCCCTTCACCCCCTCCACCCTTCCCTATTTACATAGACATCATTTCCATTTTTTTTCTTTTCTCAGTTTTTCCTTTCCCTCCTTTCCTTTCCCCCTCCCCTCCCTTCACCCCTTCATCTTTGGACCTTTTTTCCTATTTCAAGGAACTTAATTGTCATAAGTTCTCTCCGTTTTCAGAAACTGATAGTGTAAACAAGGGTTAAAATGATTAAAATGAATAATTGATAATTTGAAATATTTCCTTATTAATGAGATTTCCCTAGGAGAGAACTTATGACAATTAAGTTCCTTTTTTTGGAGAATCTATCTTCAGGCAGATGAGGGAACTTCAGAGAAAGCTCCTTCGCTGTTCTTCTTGCCTGCTTACGGGACAAAGAAGGGAAAAACCTGGAGGGTAGTCATAGAGATCTTGGTCCTGAGGATGCTTCTGAAGCCTTCCAATCTTCAAGTTCACAGTACTCAGCATGCCAAAGTACCACGTGTATTTTGGTGTATCCATTTCTAAGTCCCAGCAATTTGTTTTATGAATGTACTCTTTCATTCATTTGTTGTTGTATTTTGATAGATACTATGTAGTACTATCACATTACTATTCTTATCTCAGTAGAAACTTATTTTCAGAAGGTCTAATAACTATTAGAAAAGGTCAAATCACTATGAAGTTTCTATGCTTTTAATCTGTTTCAGAGAAGAAAAGGGAAGACTACATAGCACGGTAATTAACATCTTGGTATAGTATTTTAGTTTCTTCCTGGCTTTCTAAAAATCTTCACTGAGGTTTGGTTTGATTCAATTCTAAATCAGGAAGGAATTCATGTGTGTGGAAAGTATGCATAAACAATTATTTTGGTAAGATTGTGCACAGTGATTTAGTACAGACATTCTAACAAACAGCAGCTACTTTGCTTTTTGACAATTACAATAGCTAAATTTGATTAAGGACGTCATATGGGAAATGAAGCAAAAGAATAGGCTTCAATAATTGAAGCCCTGACAGCCATCAAACTTGTAAATCTGAAAAGAAAAGGCTCCCAAGGGCAGGAAGATACAGTTCAGTGTAAAGGGCTTGCTGCCTAGTGTGTATAAGGCCTTGGTTTTGATCCCCAGCACCACAAAAGGAAAAAAAAAAGAAAGAAAACAAAGGTCTTTGGAAAATGTACAGGAATTAGTACATTTATTTATTTTAACACTAAAATTTCCATGAAGAAATGCAAAGCACAATACCCCATTGCTTAAGAAGTATGACCACACTTCAAAACATGAAGACTTTTATGTGCTACAGTGGGAAACAGAAAAGCTGGTTACTAATACATAAAATACATAAAATACTAATACTAATATATAAAACTGTTACTGATTTAGAGAAGAACAGTCATCTGAAACACTGGTTAAAGTATAAGGTTTGATGCCTTCAGAGTAAAATCTCCAAGATCTTTCAATATTCAAAATTGATTCTTGAAATCAAATGTCTGTTATTTTATTAAGTTTGGTCCAAGTCTTCTTTTCCTTTTTTTTGAATACAGGGTCCCACTATGTAGTTCAGGCTGACTTTGAACTCACTATGTAACCCAGGATGACCTCAAACTCATGGTGATCTTCCTGCCTCCGCCTCCCAAGTGCTGGGATTACAGGTGTGCATCACCACATCTGGCCCCCAAGTTTTCTTCCATTAATTTGTTTGTTTTAACTTGTCCTATCTGACTTCACAGATACACTATCCTGACTTCTCAGAACTATTGATAACTTTCCTAGAACTAGGAATTATTTTATTCTACTGATCCCTATGTTGTAAATATGTAGTGATTCCATTCATGATGATATAACACCAATTTTTCTAAAATAGAAGACAAAACCAAGTCTTCTAAGGCCTTCTACTAATGTTCTGATTTGTATACTTAACAAGAGTTGTAAATATTTCTGACACAGTTCTATAGACTTATTCTAGAGAATGTAAAAGATGTTGCCAAGCAACACACCTAAGTCTGAGAAGAATTTAAGCATTCATGTGTCTGTCTCAGTTTGGCTTCCAGTCAAGAAGGGTTTCAGTGAAGTCCTATGTGTGTTTACAGGCCATTCACAAGAGGAAGTATTTCTAAAAGTGAGTGTCCAAAAGAAGCCCAAATCAGAAATCTATCTTTTCTTAATTCAAGTTTAGTATTTCCAACATCATGCCTATACAGGAATTGGGCATATTAGGTCATGTGCAAAAGGTCTGGCACTAAATGAACATTTCTATTCATATCTTCAACATTCTTGTATCTACACAGCTACAAAAAAATTTCTTCAATTACTTCAAATCACAAAAATAATCCTAAAACCTATCTTCCAAAATTATTTCATTTATATTGAAAATTATCTTTGAAATTATTTTCAATACTTTCATTATTATATCAATAGTCAAAACAGAATGTTCAGTAAAAACTATGTACTTTAAAATATATAATTGGTTGCAAAAGAAGAAACATGTTTTTATGAGTCGAACACATGTAAAATAGTGCTTGGCTGGATAGGCCTGATCCAATCCTCCCTCTTTCAAAGCAGACACTTTGCATGCATGCTTACCAGGGCAATATGCATCCACGTCCAGTTTCTGAGGTGAAGTGAGTGTTGGAGAGCCAAGCTCCGATTCTGGAATTCGTGGGCTCTCAACAAACTTTGCCTTCCTCAGAGGGGCTGAGAGAGCGAGAGAGAGAGAGAGAGAGAGAGAGACAGAGAGAGAGAGACAGAGAGAGAGAGAACAGAGGAAAAGAGAAGGGAAAGGGAAAGAGAGAAACACAGAGGGGTCATGAGTAAGGGGAACAGCAAGCAACAGATGGAAGCACTTAAATGAACAACACACTCTGTCAGACTCAGATCAGGTTACCCTATTTTTTTTTTGCCAGAAAAAAAATTTAACTGCATTCTTCATAGAGGAGATGGGTCTTGTTAAAAACTCGCTTAAAATGGGGAAGGCTAAAATTTAATATTCAAAACTGTAAGCATAAATTGTGATTGTCTATTACCTTTGGTTATATTCTCTTTGTAAGGCAAAGAGCTCTCTTTAATGGCTTTCTGTGCCACTAAATACAAGCATTAACTAAGGAAAGTGCAGGACTAAGTTTTAAGGTTTTGTTTATAGAAACTGTAGTCAAAGGTTTTCTTTATGTAGAAATAACTTCTCTAATACTCAGTTGTGATAAATATCAAAGCAGGATTAAATATAATCCAGCAGGCCTAACCTACATAGTTTAACAAAGAGATCAATCACCTTACTGCTCAGACATTAACGTAAGAAGTGAAAACTAGTGGTCTAAAATATTATCTAGGGCATGCCAATTTGACACTGATGCAAAGAGATGTAATTTAGTTACAAATTTAATCACAAAGCCTATGGACTTGCATTCATTCGTTATTATATAGATATGGACTAGAGTGCAATTTGTAAATTAAATGTTTTACTTACTGAAAGCACATATCAATTTTATTTACTGACTTTAGGGAAAAATTAAAAGCACTTTGATATACATTTGAATAATTAAATATTTTAAAAATTAAAATTATGGGGACTTGGGCTGGGGATTTAGCTCAGTAGCACCGCACCTGCCTGGCAAGCTCAAGGTCCTGAGTTTGACTGCCAGTACAAAAACAAAAATTAGGGAAACTCTTTTGGTACTTCCAAACTGAGTTTTATTAAGTAAACTTTAAGGCTAAAGTGCTTATCATAGCACTGGCACAAAAGTATTGGTTAGGTTTGAAATTCATTTGTATGCATTGTATATTAGTGTCATAACCATAGGTGTCTAAGACATGTGAGTGTTTAAGATCACATTACTTTTTTTCAAAAGTTTCTGCATGTTTTCCCAAATCCCATCCATTACTGATGCACAGGGGATTGTAAGTTATTCCCAAAAGACACTATAAAAAGCATTATAAAACTTTGCCATTACAATGGCTAGAATTTTTTTGAAGATACAAGTGGTAACATATTAAAAGAATATAGAAAAAATTTTAATGTGCCAATATGCAAAATCTACAGGCAACTAAATCACAATTTAAACCACAGGATGTATACATATACTTTAAGTGTATGTTAAAAAAAGAGAGGGGGCCGGGGATTTAGCTCAGTGGTTCCGCCGCCTGCCTTGCAAGCGCAAAGATCCAAGTTCGATCCCCGGTACAAAAAAAAAAAAAGAGAGAGGTAGGGGGTGGAAATAGGATTTTAAAAAAGGAATTGTGATGCATTGCGTACATGTATCAAGTCCCTGTGAGGAACGTGATCATTATGTACTACAGACTTCTACCTCCCAAAAAGAAAAAACAAACCAGGAGAAGGGGTCTAAGATATGCAGAAAAGGAAGGAGAAGAGAGGAAGTGGGGGAAAAAGCCTGTTACTGTTCTCCTTGGCAACAAAGCCCTAAAAAGTAAGCTGTCATCCAAAAGTAAGCTTTGGAATAGCAGAACTCTCACCTCTCCTTAGACTATTATACTTAGATTGTTTTTAAATATCACTATCACAAATGAAGATCTCAAGAGATTTATATGCAGGATACTAACAGCCAATATCCAAATCTCGCATTATATTCTCACCAACTGATTAAAAATGAAATGTTTTATTTATTCAGTATTACCTAGTAAAGGAGAAATGATTATAATTTTTATTCTGCAAGCTCTTTAATTCATTACTAGATTTTTATCAACACAGTGTCATGGCATCAGAAAAACTATTATACCTGTTGAGTTCTGACAAACACAGTGCTGACCTCTGATCAAGGAACAATATATATCTAAAAACTTTTAATAACAATTTTTACAATAAAATTTTGGAGTAAGAGGAACCAGCACCTTAGAGTAGAAATGTAAGAAAGAAGTTGAGGATGGCAGAACTTGACAGAGGTTTGAGGAGTGTACAAAAATTATGAGATGGAGTCAAAGGGAAAGATCAGGGTCCTAGAGATCATAAACAGCTGAGGACCATGAAAAGAATGTTGACTATATGGTATTATTCAGAAGCTGAGTGGATCACAGCAAAGGAAAAAAACGAAACATCTTACTAAAATACATAATTTCCAGCAACGAGCGCTATTTAAGATCTGTGAAGTTCAGTTTTTTTTTTCTTCTCAGAGAATTTCAACTAGGGTTATCTTTATAGTTCACAGTGAATATTTAATTCTTTCTTCTATTTATCTTCACTTCTACCTCATCTATGGGGTACTACACAAGTCTAATAATGAAGTTAAATTATTTTTTAAGGTAGATGATAATGGTGCTCTAAGTTATAGGTAACCTTATTTGTAAGTCAATCAAACAGAAAAGTATAATCACAGGTAAGACAGATTGTCTGATAGCTGTAATATTGGATGGTAGAGAACATACAAAGGCAAATTAGAAGGTGGAGCATAATATTTTTCTTGAAAGCCTAGAATTTTAGTAGACTTAATTGTAAAAAATGGTATATAAGCTAATTTAGATGGCTAAGAGACTTTTACATCAAAAGGGTTTACCTGGCAGAAAAAAAATAAAAGTGGTTGAATGAGATGGGTAAAAAGAAACTACAACCAAAATCAGGTATTTTGATGTGATGTAAGAGATAACATGAAACTAATGCTCTGAGAATGATTTGAATCACAAAACCGGGAACACGAGTGTTAGAGGATAAGAGATTTGAGTGTGGGGATCTGGTAGAGGTTTAAAGAACAGACATAATGATTTGAAAGATCTAGGTCTTACCTCTAGCTTTTTACTACTTTTTTTTTTTCACTTGATTTTTGGGGCATGTGGCCAAACCTGGTTTGTTAGGACTCCCCTAAATCAGGCCCTCCCTCTCTAACCTAGGACTCCAATAACATCATCACAGATCAGCATGATTCGTAAAGGCTGAATTTTGTGTATGTGTTTCTCCTAGAAAGGGGAGCAAAACAAAGATTTCTAAGATGTCAGAGGATGATGAGAAGAATGATGGTTTTGAGGCAGGTGATTAGGTCTGGAGGAAACCAGTCAAACAACTGGGTGGAATGTGTCAACATCATAGAGACTCAGGGAACATGCACAGAACATATGATTCAGTATGACTCTGCAGCTCCTGAGACTGTACACAGACCAAATCAGAAAAGTGCTATTTTCATTTCTTCATTTACATCTGGCTGGAAGCCAAGTCTTTCTATAGGGTAGTTTAAGTCTGAAACTGAGCCAAGTGAGTTTTTATAGGACAACCACGCCAATGCCTTATTTGTGTGAGGGAAAGGTCAATCCAAAAATTTTGAACACAAAAGACCTTTATCCCCAGGGGCATTGTGAGTCTGTCTACCAGCCCTTCTCACTCTGCAGAGTGTACTTCTTTTCTACCTTTAATAAATGTACATATCCACCATTTCTGTGTGTTTTGTCCAATTCTTTGAGACACCAAGAACCTGGAAAGAATTCTCCCAGAATCTACTGTCTGATAATAGTATCACAAATTATTTTTTTTAATTGAGGATATAATGTTGAGGCAAATATATGTTATGTCTTAGAAAGTAGTAAAATGTAAAAAAATTTTGTTTGATTGACTTACATTTGTGGGTATAGAATGTAAGACTATTGGTTCTCTAAATATGGTGCCTGGAGCAGTAGCACAGTAGCACATGGGATTTGTCAGAAATAAAAATGACTGGGCATCTGAGTCAGAAACACATGAGGGTGGGGACCCAGCAATCTGTGTTCAGCAAGCCCTGCTCTGATGTACACTAAAGGTTATGAACAGTAGATTAGAAAAACCTATAAATACCACCTGTAGAGCTGATACCTAAGAGGATAAAAGCAATCAGACATACGATACAGGAATGTTAATGGTGAAAGAGAAAATCCACTTATGGAGGTTCCTCCACAAAGCGGAATGATGTAGATGGTATTGATACAAGACTAGTCCAAACAAAAAGGCATTAAAATAAGAATTTTAGCCAGGCAAGGTGCCACAGCCTGTCATACCAGCACTTGGAGACTGAGGCAGGAGGACAGTAAATTTGAGGCCAGCCTGGGCTATACAGCAAGACTCTGTTGAATGAATGAATGAATGAATGAATGACAAATAAGAAAGAATCTTAAAACTACTGAGATATTTGTCTTTGAAAAGGTTTCAAAGCAAAAGGAAATTTTTAGGAAGAAAATGGCGCAAGACTCAGATTCTCATGAAAGAAAGCAAAGAAGAGGAAAATGAGAAATGGATAATATAAAGGTGGGAAGAACATAAAACACTGAGGAAAGAACTCTGAGATGTAAATTTAATTACAAGTACAAGAAGATGCTCTGAGAGTGAAGGAATCAAAGAAAATCAGTTCACAACTGAAGATGAAATCAAGAAAGGACAATTTCACATTCCTAAACATACGTTAAAACTTTGACTTAAGGCTTTCCCATCAAGGCTGAACATCATGAATGTGAACCTGTTTACAGATTCTTTCCAGATTGTTAATCCCAACCAATACAGAAGAACAATTACTTCTCTTTATGGACTGCCCTTCTATTTCAAAGCTTTCCCAGTTTGACATTATCCCATCTCTCTATACAATCTATATTTTTCTTTCCCAAATTTTCATAATAAAAATACTCTTACCTTTAAATCTACTGGACATTTTTCTAACTGCCATATATCTAGTCTTGCTGCTAGCAGTTACAGAAACTTGTCCCAGGACCTAGTATCTATGTGGCCAGTATCTGTA